TTCCTGGCCCCCGGGGTGCGGCGCGTGCCCGTGCGGGAGGGCCGGGTGCGGGCCACGCTCTTCCTGCCGCCAGGTGAGAGCCCACCTAAGTGTCCTAAGTGTCCTTGCTTTTTACAAGAAGGAGGAATTAGCCCCCTACGTCCCCCAGGTCAGGGTCCTGGACTTAGGAATGGGATGGAAGGCAGCTCAGGGAGGTGGCCCTGCTGCTCCCAGACTGACAGGTCCTTTGAGTCCTCTACTCAGTTAAAAGACCTTTCAGGGAAAGGGAAAAAAACAACATAATGTAATGATAACATTTTTAAAAACTCTATATAGGTAGTTTCAGTTTTTCAGTGTTGTTTCAAGTTTCTCAGTTTTGCGGCTATTCTGTTCATGCCCACGGTATGGTAAGGTTTATGAGTTGAGAGTTCCCATAGGAGGAATTTATCTGCTTGCAAGTGGAAATCTGAGATTATTGGGCATTCTTATCTTCACAAAAGGGCTATTTCCAGGCGATCTGAGGCTAGGGCAGGAGGACCACAAGTTCGAGTCCAACTTGGGCAACTTAGTGAGATCCTGTCTCAAAATAAAATATAAAAATTGAGGGATGTAGCTTGCCTGCCACATGCAGGGTGCTAGGTTCAATCCCCAGCACCGCCCACCTCCCCCAAAGAAAAGAAAGAAACAGAAAAACGAAAGGCTTCCCAGCCTAATTAGTAATGAAGGAAATGCAAAATAAAACTTCAGAGTACCGTAAGAGTGGCAAAAATGTGGAAGGCTAACATTACTATTACTGACAAATACCTCTGGAAAAAAAGAAACTTACCCATGCAGCTAGAGAGAGTCCAAAAAAAATGTTCATCTACTGTGAAACAATTTTCCTGTAATCAGTCCTGCCTCAGCCTCCCAAGTAGCTGCAAGTACAGGTCCTCATCACTACACCTGGGTCCTGTCAACTGTTTTCTACAGTCTGTGCCATGTTACTTATTACCAGTATTGTATGCTGGTTCTAGGAGCTGTGCATCCTCACTGGCAGTTGGCATTGCCAGTTGTAGGGACAGGAGGGAGAGCAGTATTTTTGTTCATTTCTAAACTGTTTTGTGTGTGTGTGAGAGAGAGAGAGAGAGAGAGAGAGAGAGAGAGAGAGTGTGTGTGTGTGTGTGTGTGTGTGATGCTAGGGCTCAAACCCAGGGGATCACATGTGTTCCCCAAGTGCGCTACCACTGAGCTGTCTCTGGCCCATAAAGTATTTTTTATGTCAAAAGTAATACATGCTCCTTGTGAAAATCTGTGGGCTTTGAGGCTCTGGGTGGAGAGGGGAATGTGGACTCAGCCTAGGCCTCTCTGGTTGTTTGAAGACCAGAGGTCTTTCAGCATTTTGGTTTGTCAGTAGATAAGTCGGTCATTCTCAAGCAGGCAAGTGGCTTTCGATGCCACCGCAGAGAGTTTTGGGAATGATTTAGTTTTGTGTTTTCTTTTGTATCTAAGAACCTCGACCTTGCCCTGGGATTGTGGACCTTTTTGGAGTTGGAGGAGGTCTTCTGGAGTATCGAGCTAGTCTTCTGGCTGGAAAGGGCTTTGCTGTGATGGCTTTGGCTTATTATGATTATGACGACCTCCCCAAAGGCCTGGAGGCCACCCGCCTGGAGTACTTTGAAGAAGCAGTGAACTACCTGCTCAGTCACCCCGAGGTTGGACCTTGTCTAAGTTTTACGGGCTGCCCATCACATCTCCTCATGCACGTTCTTGGTTTCACAGAAGTTAGCCCATTGATGGCTGCCTTTCACTGTCCCCTCACCCACTGCCTCTTAGTTCTCCTAGGTATTTCTATGTGTTCTATATTACTAATATGTTTCCTGTGAGTAAAGATGTTGTTAGTTGTTATTCTGGAATTCTGAATTCCAGTATGACACAGCGTTTCACAGTGATCCCAAACACAGTACAGAACCTAGGATTGACAAAGAAGTAAATGAAAAGAAGATGCCCTATAAGTCTTTGTGTCCTACAACCTTCTCTCCCTTGAGCTCTTCAAAAGCACTGGGTTAACTAGCAGCACCTGGGCACCAGCAATGTCTTCAGGTTCCTTTTGTTTTGTTGTTGTCTTGAGGTTTCTCTACATAGCATTTCAGAGGTTAAAGAGATAATCATTTATTTCATACTTCAGACACAGCTTGATATGGATGGAAGCACTGGAGCCCTTAGAAACTGTGATAAGATACAATGGAACCAGTGTAGATGTCGACAGAAAAGTTAAATTGGGGATTTGATTTTGACCATCCACTTACCCATCAATCCTGCCACACGCCACTGGCATTTTGCTGTTCCCTCCTTCAAAAGACCACCTCATACCTTCTAGGTCCTTCTTCCTCTAGTCTTATCTCCATATTCCTCTTTATGATCTCCATATTTCAGTGGAAAAATTACAGCTCTCCAGAGGAACCCCTTATTTTTTCACTGCCATAACTACCTACCTCCCTGTGAACTTGAGCTCTGACATCCCTCCTGTTCCTCTCAAAGGTGATGACACCTGTCCTTGAATTTGGAATGCCTAGGTAGCACTAGGAAATGGAAGACAAGGAAGACAGTGACTATTTTCTTTTTTCTTTTTGCACTGGGGATCAAACTCAGGACCCTGCGCTTATAAGGCAGGTGGTGGTACCACTGAGCTAAATCCCTGGCCCAGTAATTATTTTCTAAAACCTCTGGTTCTTCCATCCAGATGGGGAATGAAAGTGAGCTCAGTCAGCACCAATGATTATTTTCCCATGGCAGTGTCCATTTGCAGCAGTGCAGACTGGAGGAAATGAGTAGGACAATTTAAACTGGGCTAGCTACCCTTTTCCCGGCCAGTAAGGCCAAAGAAAGAGAGGTATGAAAGGAGCTGAGTGGTTTCCATGGTTTTCAGAGAGTGATCATACTGATGAAACAAAATCCAAGCTGCAGGAGGTAAGAAGTATGAACACCAAAGATACTGATAGAGAATTAAGTAGTGGTAGTGAAGGTCTCAGAGAGGCAAAACTCTTAGAAATATTAAACCTGAGGATGAAAGGTTGGGATGAGGGTGGGTTGCTTGACGCTGAGATTTTGGAGATGATGTACTCATGGGTGATGACTGGTTTAGGTTAGAACAGGGAGAGTGGCTGGCTCAGGTAAGAAAGAGAAGAAGACTACAGGAGGTATGAAAAGTAAGGAACTCCACATCATAAGTCTTCCTTGGGTTGTGATATCATGAAGAATGGTAATGGAGAAATTGGGGAAGGGAAGGAAAGAATCAGTATACTTCTCTTGGCTGTAAACTAGAGAACAGATGAAGCCAAGATCTGGGCTCATGTCCACCTGAATTGCGAGGTGGGCAGTACTTACTGTATAGCCTCTTTATGGACTTATTATCCTTGCTCTTTTTCCATTCTTGTCTCAGGTAAAGGGTCCAGGAATTGGGCTGCTTGGAACTTCCAAAGGGGGTGAACTGTGCCTTGCCATAGCCTCTTTTCTGAAGGGCATCACAGCTGCCGTCATCATCAACGGGTCCATAGCTGCTGTCGGGGGAACCATGTACTATAAGGGTGAATCTGTGCCTCCTGTGACTGCTGTGAGGGATCGAATCAAGATGACCAAAGATGGCATCATGGACATTGTGGATGCCCTGAACAGCCCTTTGGAAGGACCTGACCAGAAGAGCTTCATTCCTGTGGAAAGGTCTGACACCACCTTCCTGTTCCTTGTAGGTCTGGATGACCACAACTGGAAGAGTGAGTTCTATGCTAATGAGGCCTCCAAGCGCTTACAGGCCCATGGGAAGAAAAAGCCCCAGATCATCTGTTACCCAGAAGCTGGGCACTATATCGAGGTCCCTTATTTCCCCTTGTGCAAGGCTGCTCTGCATAGCTTGGTGGGCGCTCCTGTCGTCTTTGGAGGGGAGCCCAGGGCTCATGCCATGGCCCAGGTGGATGTGTGGGAGCAACTTCAGGCTTTCTTCCACAAACATTTGGGTGGCAACAGTTAAGAGGTATGCTCCTGAAAAAATAAAGCATCTGAATGCTTGGTGGATAAGTCTCAAAAATATTCTAAGAACATCAGTTCATTTCATAGTAACCTATGAACATAATAACATGATTACAGTTTTTTAAAGATTTGTTCATTTATCTTGAAATATTATTATTATTAGAAATAGCGTCTAAACAATAAAACAATGATGTCAGGAATGAAAAGGAAGCCATAAGTATAAACATTTTTGTTAAATTGAAAATTGAGCTAGGCATGGTGGCACATGCTTGTAATATCAGCACTCAGGAGGCTGAGGCAGGGGGATCGCTGTGAGTTCCAGAGCAGTCTGAACTACACAGTGAGAAAAACAAAAACAAAACAAAACAAAATTGAGCTTTTTCAGACAAAGCTAGTGTCTCCTTCAATTGTGGGCTAATGTCACCACTATTATGCACCTTCCCCGAAGGGACCTTTAGAATGATTTTTCTATGTATTTTTCAGATGTTGTGCTTTAACTGGTATATATATAGAAATAAAAAATTATGTTGCAGGGCCAGGATTTAGCTCAGGGTTGCTGCCACTTGCCTCATGAGTGCAAGGTCCAGAGTTCACAAGTACCTCCCCGCAAATGTGTTGCACAAGTGTCACTTTAATGAGAATATTGGTTTTACAAAACAATAAATGGTGGAAAAGAGCACCTTTTACCTGAGACAAATCCTAGGCCACAGCAACACACAGGGATGAAAGAAGTTTTAATTTAGGTAGGAAAAGAGCAGTTGGGGAAGAAAACAGTACTAGAACCTCTGTGTTATGCTACTCATTAATCCTCTCAACCACTCTGCGAGGCAAGTAAAAGGACATGTACAAGCAAAAGCTCTTTTCCACATGCCTACATCCTGAGACCACAGTAACCTTCCAGAGTTAGTGATCACCATTAGGAATGCGGTGTTGGCCGAGCATGGTGGCGCACGCCTGTTATCCCAGCACTCGGGAGGCTAAAGCAGGAAGATCGCTGTGAGTTTGAGACCAGCCTGGGCTGCATAGTGAGTTCCAGGTCAGTCTCAACTACATAGTGAGACACTGTCTCAAAAAAAACAAACAAAAAAAATAAACCCCCCCCCAAAAAAAAGAATGCAGCGTTGGGCTCACCCCAGAAAGAATGGGTGCTATCAAGAAATTAACCAATAACAAATGCTGGTGGGGTTGTGGAGAGAAAGGAACCCTTCTCCATTGTTGGTGGAAGTGCACACTAGTGTAATCACTGTGGAAATCAATATGGAGATTCCTTAAACAACTAGGATTAGAGGTTCCATTTGCCCCAGCTATTCCCCTGCTAGGTATCTTCCCAAAAGAATTAAAAGAATCATACCACAGCAGTGTATGCACATCCATGTTTATAGCAGTACAGTTTGTAATAGCTAAAGCTTGGAAACAGCCCAATTACCCACCACCTGGAGACTGGATAAAGAAGATGTGGGTTTAAAAAAAAAAAAATGGAGTACTGTTCAGCCATAAAGAATGAGAAATTAGAGACATTTATAGCTAAATGGATGCACATTGATGCCATACTCTTAAGTGAAATAAATAGGACATACATGTAGATACTGAATAGTTTCTCTGGTGTGAGAAACTAAAAGTGTAAATACAGATTAAACTGGGGCCAGGGATTTGGCTCAGTGTTTCTGTCATCTACCTTGCAAGCACAAGGATCTGAGTTTGATCCCCAGTACCTAAATAAATAAATAAATAAAGATAAAACTGTGTAACTGATAATGTGAAATAGGAAGAAAAGGTCTAAAGGGGTACAGGAAGTGGGAGGGGTAGGGGAAAGGAAAGAAGGGAAGGGAATAAATATGAGAAAAGGAAAAAATGGAAATAAAGTCTTCGTAAATAGGGGTGGTGGTGTTGAAGATAGAGTAGTGGAATGGGGAAAAAATGAGAAGCAAGATACATCATGTAAAGGTACAAGTTCCCAGTGATGAATGTAACTAGCCTCAAAGCACTAGAATTACAGGTGTATACCACTTTACTTTTTTTTTTTTTTTTTTTTTTTTTGGTACTGGGGATCAAACTGGGGATCTTGCGCTTGCAAGGCAGGTGGCAGAACCACTGAGCTAAATCTCCAGCCCTATAATCTCTAGATATATGTACTTCTTCATAATACAGTTTCTCATCTTTATCAACAGACACAAATATATGTTGCTGTTGGAGCTAACATTTGATTTTGAAGAATAGTTGTAGAGTCATAATCCCTCAGCTGAAGTGTCTCCTTGCTATTAGAAACACCACAACCTTATCCTTGCTATTGGAGACATCACAATTGAGACCTCAATTGTGGCCGTTGGCATAAGGAAATCTATTTCCATATACCAGCTGAAGGGTCAATTAGCAGTTCACACTCAGGCCTTGGAGTGACTCCTAATTTTAATCAATAGCCAAAATCATAAGCCAAATCAATAATATCTAAAGCCTGCTCAGTGCAGTTTCAAGTTGGTCCCTTACAGACAACATTATCCACTGAGATAGCTAAAGCTTTCTAATATTTGTAGAAAAGAGTTTGAGGACTTTTTTATTTGCACTGATGTGATCTTATGAAGGCCTTGGGTTACAGTTTAGGAAGGTAGCCCAGGCGACCCTTAACAGCTACTTGAATGTCTTCAAAGCCCACCCGAGGAGACAGAATACCCCCTTGATTTCAAATAGCTTTTTGCAAATTTTCAGTTTTCCAAGCTGCCAAATTGTTTTTTTTTTTTTTAGTTTTAAAAATAATTTTTATTTTTTTAAAAGTTAATATACGTATTACAGGAAACAAAAACATAAGAAGCAAAGAACAAAGTCATTCGCAGTGATAAACAGCTTAGCTGGATGTGTTCTAGGTCCTGCGTGTACATATATAATGTGTGCCATTTTGTGACTCAGTTTGTACAGTGTGTGTCATGCTTTTCTACATATCACGAATATTCATCAGCTCAAAATCCCAGAGCTACAAGAGTATTTTTGATAACTAAGAACACATTACACCAACTCAATCTGTTAAGAAAAAAATTGTAATCCTGCCTTTCTTGGGAACAACAATTTCACTGAAGATGGAAATGGTAACAGGCCTCTAGATAGAAGCATTGGCAAAGTGACAGTTACAATACTGCATTTCCTTAATGCTCGGTTTAAAATGAGACATAAAGCAACACAGTAAACCAAGAAGCTGCCAAATTGTTAAGCCAAATACTCAAGAACACCATAAACCTGACAGGATAATTATAAAGAAAACCACATTTAATGAATTAGAGTAAAACTAATAGTAGTCATTTTTGTTTGTTTGTTTGTTTTTGAGACAGGGTCGCACTATGTAGTTGAGACTGACCTGGGTCTCACTATGTAGCCCAGGCTGGTCTCGAACTCACAGCAATCCTCCTGCCTCAGCCTCCCAAGTGCTGGGATTACAGGCGTGCGCCACCACACCCAGCAGTCATTTTTTTTTTTAAAGTAGCTTTGTAACATAGCTATATTTTTTTCACATTCCCAACAAGTGTTAGGAGATCTATGTCCCCTCCTTTCACATTCACTTAGACAATCAGCAGAGCAGAAGTGATGTTGTGGGGCTTGAAGCTAGGTCATAAAAGCCCATGAAGTTTCTGCAGGGTTTGCTGGGAAGACTTACTTGCTTTTACCTTTTGCCTTCCTGAGCCACTTAAGTGTGCATATTCATTACTATAAGGCCCTGGTGCTGCCAGGAATCCCAAAACATGGGTTAGGTCTACTGTAGGCCATCTTGTGACACTCCTATGGGAGGCGAGACCATGGCCCAGTCCAGGTGTCAGATGAGAGTGAGAAACCTCCAGAGGAGTCTAGCCACAGACATTTGCATCTTCCCAGCAAAAGCTTCAAATACTCTGAGCAAAGAACTGTCCCTACCAAGTCCTGTTTAAAGTGTTGATAATTAGTGTTCTCGTTTTAGGTGACTTCTGTTTTGCTTCCATTGTCTATTGATGTGTAACAAAACACCCCAAAGCACGGTGGAAATAATATCCATTTATTTTCCCCAGAACTCTGCAAGTTGGATAGGACTCAGTAGGAATGGATCACCTCTGTTCTGATGGCTTTGGCTGGGGCAGTTTGATGGCTGGAGGGTCTACTTTTGTGGCAAGGGTGCTTATGTTGGCTTTAACTGGAACTCAGAAAGGTTTACTGGGGGGTTCTCAATTTCTCTCCTCATGGGCCTTTTCACTGGCTATGTGGGCTGCGTCCCAAGAGCGAGTGTTCCAAGACAGCAAGGCACAATTGCCTGGCCTTCCTTGGATCTAGTCCTAGGAACTACACGGTACCACTCTTGCCATACTGTATCGGTCAAGGCAGTCACAGTGGTCACTAAAGTTCCAGGACAGTAGAGAACCCACTTCTTGAAAGGAAAGAACAAGTGTTCTTGAAGAGCATGTGAACTGGGAAATACTGTAGCCCTCTTTGGAAAATACAATCCACCTTCTGGCCACACATACCTCCCACATGGAAAACACACTCATCCCTCATCTAAGATCTCCAGATTGCCATTCATCACAGCACCATGCCAAGGCTCCACCAGGCCCAAGAGCTCTTCATCTACATCTCGTTCAGGTACAGATGAGGCTCCTTGGAAGAGTCCAATGGGTACAGCTCCTTGTACATCTGAACTCCTATGAAACAAGTTATAATTCCTGTTGAGATTGCTGTTCAGAAACATGGAAAATGGGAGGCACACAACCATCACTGGTCCTTATCAAGTCTGCTATCCACCCAACAGCTGTGACCAATTTCTGTATTAATGCTTAGTCTACTCTGTATGAGTTGTTCTCTGTACCTCTTGGTTCCACCCCAAATTGACTAAATTAGCAACAACGACAACACAGCCTGTTCAAACTCTGGGATTTTTCTCTATTGTTTAATATTTAAGATCAGCTAGGCACACTCTTAAAGTCTTTAGAGGACCTTCTCTCAGATCAAATATTCCATGAAGCATTGCTGTGAATCTTTCTGACATCTTTAAGAAGGATCTTATTGACCTACTCTGAAGTTTACTTCCTTCCCTTTCCTCCCTCCTTTTCTTTTCTTTCTTTCTTTCCTTTCTTTTTCCTCTCTCTCTCTCTCCTCTGTCTCATCTCTTTCTCCTGGGGGCCAAACCCATGTGCACTTTACCACTAGGCACTCAAGAACAGTTGGTTATAGTTTGACATTGTACCCACAGTGTAACTTTGGTGTATAAACTACCGCTGGCAAAAGGCGTTGGTGGCAACCACTTTTGGGACCCCTCTTCTCTCTCAGGAGCTATTTCTCAATAAATCTTGCCTACTCTTAACCCTCCACTGTTTCTTGGAATTCATTCTTCAATTTCAGAGAACATGAACTCTTCACATCTAACAACTAGCAGATTGGGAATTACATTTCTCCTATATCAAGATGATCTAACTGAGGACCATATTCAAGATGTAAAAGACCACTGCAGGAGCAGTGCTGTGTAGTCTAAATCTATTACTGACTTGTGGTCTAGTGGCTAGGCAAAAATCAGGTTGCACCACTGTAGTAACTGCATTTTTGTTTTTTGTGGCAATACCGTGGAGTGGGATCTAGGGCCTCACACATATTAGGCAAGCATTCTACCACTGAGCTACACTCCTAGCCCTTTTTGCTTTGATACAGAGTCTCACTAAGTTGTCCAGGCTGGCTTCAAATTTGTGATCCTCCTGCCAGAGTCTCCCAAAATCCTACACTATAAATAAAGAGCACACTGGACACCAGGCCACCATTAGCTCATCAGGCTATGGTCCCACCTGGTTCCAGCTATAAAGCTTAATCCTGGTATGTATCTTTCTTTCTTGTTATTCTTCAACTTTTCTTTATCCCCCACTGCTTTCCCTGGCTTCGGACTGTACACTGGCAGGCCGCGGCACCCAACACTCAAAATTAAAGGGGGGAAATGTTTATTTAGCTCACAGTCTGTAATTGCCTGGCTCTAAGGCAGGGTGGCATGGCAGAGGGGCATCACAGAGGAGAAACAGTTCATGGTAAGCAGAAGTTAGAAAGTAAGCAAGGGACAAGTCTCTTTCTGTTCCCCTATATCGCATCCAGGATACCAAAATTATAGTGGCTTGGACTGATTCAGTAATCACTTTCCCTTAATCCTAACACTCTTAATCCTAGCATTGCACCATGAATCAGTTACACACTATAGATTCAGCCACCTCTGAAAAAGCCCCACCTATGACCATGAAGCTTTGGGAGGACATCTAGACACAAGCTATAACATCAGGATTTAACAAAAAGAGGCACTTACATTAGCTTGAGGTCAGTTCTCCAGTTATACAATCTACTTTTCACTAAAATCCAAAGAAACAGGCATTCCTTTTCTGTCAAAGATTTGCTTCCTAATTTCCCAAATAGTTAAAGGCAGAACTATTGCAGGGAATGGAGAGCGTTACTAGTAAACAGAAAGTTGGCAAATAATATATTTTTGTAAGCCAGTGTCTTATTCTGTTTATACAACAATTGCTTGGTGAAACTATTCAGTCATGCTTACAGGGGGCAGAATAAAATTATAGAAATCACCAACGTGGCACCTGAAAGAATTTCCATCAGTCCTGCAGGTTCAGTGGTCTTTGGACCTCTGCCTCCACATTCAACACGTGACTTGCCGATTTAGCCATTATCTTAGCAGATTTCTTCCTTTCACTTGTAGCACTGCTGTGTTTGCACAAAGAAGCCTCAAAAAGCAACTTGGAGAGTGTCCCAACACCCAGCCAAAGGGAGTAGTGCGTCTGGTCCCTCCTATTCGACTACTCCGGCTAGTCCGAGCCATTTGTCTTCTTCAGAGGCCGAATCGAGACTCCAGCAACCCTGATTCTGGAGCCC